CAGAGGATATAACCCAGACTGAGAAGCCTTTTTCTGGAAGCTAATGTTAGAGATCTGATTTGAAGAGAAAAGAGTAATACAGGAAAAGGTGCAGATATGATAGGGGTGAAGTGTGGGAAAAGACCTAAGAAAGGGAGAACTCCAGAAAATAAAAATATACTAAACCTCGTGTTCACTAGAGAAGATATAATGTATATGAAAAATTGCAAGTAGTTCTGTCCAGCTGGAGGGAAGGTGTAGTAGATGGAGAGAGATAAGTTTTGGGATGTAATTAAGCACCAAGTAATAAATGGCCTTATATGCCAATCTGGGTTTTATCTTTCTGTGAATGGGGAGAACTTAAAGACTTTGAGTAATAAGAAATACACTGAACAAATTTGCATGTTTAGACAGGTAATTTTACAAGCAGAAGGGAAGCTGGTTGTAGGGCAAAGTCTGAGAGCAGAGTTTTCAAGTAGGAGACTGTGAGCAGCAATACTAGTGGAAGCAGAGAACAAGCCAGGTGAATGATGATGAGTAAGGCAATGGCCAAAGAGAAGACTAAAGAAACCAGAGTTAACCACTGAATACAAGTGATGAGTAAAGATAAATTTGACAGTGATCACAGCATATCTGGCTTGAACAATTGAATTGATGCTATTGTCATTACTTAAGAGAGGAGACAAGGCAGAGGAAAAAGATTAGGGGAACAGGAACAAGAAACTACACAACCAGTATTATTATGGGCTATTTTCCAGTCATTGTTTTTCTGCCACAATTTAAATTAATTTTTATTTAACACCAAATCCCAAACATGAATCTCCTGCCAGGCTCTTTCCTGAGTTTTTGACCCAAATACTTCCTATTTTCCACTTGGCTACCAAAAAAATGAAGAATTCCAAAGAGGAATCTAAACAGATTAGATTTGTGTGCTAGGAACAAAGTGTCATTGTGTTGAACATTTTTCACTAATACTATAAGAAGAAGAGAAAGATGTGTGGGTGCACATAAGTTAGGAAGGTGGCAAGAAGGTGAAGGAACACTTGCTATGGACATTATTTTAGCAAAGTAATGAAACTGATGGAAGTAAACTAGCAAATAAAACTGAGGAGAAATAGTGAAGGTTTAAATTAGCTATGGAAAGTAAGAAAGGGAGTAAAACTGAATAAAATGATAAAATAAAATGTCCAAATAAGACAAATGCCTTTGTGTGTGTGTGTGGCACTAAGCATTGGACCCAGAGCTGATCAACATCTTCAGAATTTTTCAAATTTTTATTTTGAGTCAGAGTCTCACTAAGTTGCCCAGGCTGGTCTTGAACTTGCAGTCATCCTGCCCTCTCCTCCCAGAGTGCTGAGATTAGGTGTGGGCCACCGAACTCAGTTTAAACCCTTGATTTTTAAGTAGCATCAATGGATGTGGCTCTTTTATTTTTGCTAGTATTGCTTATCAGTCCAGGTACCAAAATGGAGAACAGAGGTGGTTGGGTTGTTCCAGTACTGAATTTTTCCTGGATGAGTGTAAGCAGGATAGCAAAGGAACATCTTGTGGGTGTAGACAAGAGAATTGTGTAAATAAAGGATTGAAGACCCAGATTTCAATGTGAATAATGAAAATGGGTGCTGAAATGAAAGGAAGCTAAGGGGAGAGAGAGGGATCCTGGAGAAAAATAGTTCAGAAGTGGAGACTTTAGGTGATTAAAAAAAAAAAAAAAGCCCCAGATTTGGCATGGAGGTGGTCAGGCTGAAGAAAGGAGGAAAAGAATACAGAAATCCAATCCTAGTTTGTAAGATGGCACATTCAGTGTTTGGAAAGACTATAAAGGGCCATTCATCTGACTTTCTTTTTTTTTTTTTTGGTACCGGGGATCGAACTTGGGACCTTGCGCTTGCGAGGCAGGCATCGGAACCACTGAGCTAAATCCCCAGCCTAATCTGACTTTCTTAAACAAATATATATTAAGGTCTGATCTTTGAGAAAGCTGTTGTCCTCTCACTGACAACAGAACATCCTCTACGAATGACATAGCTTAAGTTCTCTAAAGCAGCTATAAAAGAAGCCAGTGATTTTTTTGCTTAGTTATGATTACTTGGATACAGTAAGTTATAGGTTTTTCATGTTTTCTTTTCTCAGAAGCCAAAAAGAAAATGTTAAGATGATTTGGAGAACGCATTTTTGATTTTCCAATAGACAAAAGCAAAACTCCTGAGGAAGGGATCAACAGGGATGTAATGATGCTCTTGGAGTTGATGTCTAAGTCACTGTTTTCTGCACTGGAAGAAAACCAGTCCATCTCTCACCTCACCTTGGGTTGCTCAGCCACCTCTGTTATCTTAAACTCCCATGTCCAGATAATCAAAACCTATTTTTTTTAAATCCTCATATAAATGTAGCTCTGAGTTTACTATGGAACCAAACAGTTCAAAAGAACAAAAGTTGATGCATTATAATCTATTAGTTTGTTCCACTGTCAGATTCTAGTGGCAGGAAACTCAAAGCTGTTTGCTTCCACAGCCTCTTTCTCTGAGTTTCTCTCCAAAATGTCAGGATTAAGAAAAATAGTGTTTCATTTTCCTTCATTCCCTAGGAGGAGAAGCATTGTGTATTGCCAGCTCCATGGACATGGGAGGGCCCACTGAGCTACAACAATTTCATCAAACCTGGGTCAAGGGGGTTAGAGGCTCTCTGCTGAGGCTGCACACACAAATCTGAAAATGTCTTCATTCTACTACCTTACAGCTTGTCTTCTTTCTCGATTTGCAAAGATAAAGAATCTCAGCAGAGAGCTCTCAATATTCAAATGCCAATTTCTTCATTTACCACACTTCATGGTTACACTCGATTCCAAGTTTGGTTTGCTTTCCCTTTCCTTCCACACACTTGAGCAGATCTTGAAGCCACACTGGATTTGATGCGTGGACCTGGACTGGGCGGTGCTATGTGCTTTTGTGTAAGGGAGACTTCTGAAAATGGTAATGACTGCTAAAGCAAAATCCAAAATTACAGGAAGAAGCCACATGTACAAATTGGGTAATGTGTATGGCTAGATTTTACATCTCTAAGTTATGGCACATTCAGTTATTATATTTTCTGTATAGTAGCTTGTTACTATAGTAATTCCTCTTCTAAGAAAGACAACATCATGTAATAATCTGTGCACTCCCATTTAATTTATGACTGCTTGGAGAATGATATTCTTTACTCTGTCACTATTATTCCGTATAGTCACTCAGTACTCCCAGGCATTTGTTTTTATCACCATTTTAAGTTTTTTAAAAAAGTTTAGTTTACAAATTGTTGCTTTTGCTGAATTCTTCCATACCTGGAACATATTCTTTCAAATTTTAAGGTGAAAAAATCTCCTCTCTTTTTCTTTAAACTAGATTTACACAGTACAATTGTGTAAAATTTTTTTTTTTGGTACCGGGAATTAAACTCAGGACCTTGGGCTTTCGAGGCAGGCTAAGGCACCACTGAGCACCACTCAGCCCTATTTTTCAGTTTTTGTAAGCCATGTACAAATAAACTTCATCTGTCTAGTTTAGTTTATTGTCAAATGACCTGCAGTACAAGCTTCACAATACAGTTTTTAAGCAATATGCACCCTGACACAGTAGATACACAGGCATCCTGAGGAAAGTTACTAAATAGCTAATAAAAGGCAGAGTGCACTTCACAATGAGAAGCCAAAGAGCCTAAAGCAAGGCTGATATCAATGAGAAAGTAGGTTGTTTTGTTTTTCTTAGTTAGTGGTCATCTCTTCCTCATCACATACACACCATCAGACCAAACTACTTGTGTGTTCCTGATGGGCCACACTCTCCCATAACTCAATGCCTTGGCCACAGAGGCATGCCTTCCCAAAATTACCTCTGGTAAATTTCCATGCATTCCCCATGAATCCACTAAAACCACCTCCAAGAGCACACTTCTCTCGTTTCTGTGTCTCAACGGCACATTGTTCATACACATCTCACAGCATACATCCCATCACCTCCTGAAAGTGCTTGTTTGCCAGTTTTGTTTCTTTGAAGTGTGGGGGGGGGGGGCTTCTTCATCCTTGCAGCCCCAGTACCACATATAGTGCCTGGCACTTTAGAAACCCAGAAAACAATGTTGGTTTGTGTTTTAATCAAGGCAGTACTTAAAGCAGTGACATCAAGAGAAGAATACTGAAAAGGAATATTATTTGGTGGTGCTATAAGCGAAGAAACAAGATTTGATTATGTGTGAGCTAAAATAAACTATACAGATGGCATCTAACTTAGGAGCATGGGAGTTGCCACTATGTTCAAAATTGATATCAAAATTAGTAGAGATCTTTTGATGTAAAATTAAGAAATGTAATGTAGGATTCCTACATCCTGTTAGAAAGCTAGGCTGTAGGAAGTGAATGCAAACAAGGCAAGTCAAGGACTTCAAATGAAAAGACAATGGAAACTTAGCCAAGTGGGTGTTTTTGGAACCTTGATAGAGAAAGAGGATCCGATGAATAGATCAAAAACTGCAGTATAAGCAAAGGAGAATAAACATTCCATTATAATGCTTATAAAAATGAGGCAAACAGAAAATAAAAACATTGAGTTTGTAGTTTTAACATTAAAGGATTAGGAGAATACAGATAACCAAAGGATAATTACTAAAGTCCAGGATCAGATAGTTCAGAATAAAGACATAAACTGGGTGGTGAAAGAGAAGTGAGGGACAATTGGATTGGCAAAGAGCTGTACAGCAAAACACCAAGGCACGAGGTAAAATCACCGAGGTGTCTGAGGAACAGAATGATCAGCCCATGAGAACAAAGCGCTAATGTGCTGGGTGTAAATGAGGTAACATACAAAATTAGAGTTGAACTACACAAAGCTTTGTACTTCCATAGATTTTTCAGATCTTTTTTTATGACATTGACCGCAATACAAATGGATTTAACCTACAATAAAATAAGTCTTCTTGGAGAGGAGACACCAGAGCAAGAGTGAATGGAGTGGTTTGATACTGATCATGACCAGATGTACTCTTACCTTGAGCTGGTGAGGGCATTTGGATTGATTGGTAAGGGGACTCCAGGGCTGCAACATGGGTGTGGTCAGGTGACAGGTGGCCGTGAACAATGTTCTGTATTACAGACAAAACAATAATGAACAATCCAGTTTTCAACTTTCTGTTTGAATATTAGTCTTCTTTTGTACTTGTAAGGATCTTAGGATGACACTGTCAATACAGTGAAACTTTAAAAATTGAGTAGTTTAAGGTGATTAAATAAGAAAACTAGAAGGCACACATTTTATTTCACAGATATGTTAAAGCAATTTAAATAACATTAAATTTTAAAAGAATGCAAAATATCCATTGACGTTAAAGTTTCCTTCATCTGCATCTATTCTATTTAATTTCCATGGCCTCTGTTGTGTAATTTGGAAACATTTGCTAAAGCAGTTTCTTAACCAGGGATGTGATGAATAGCAGACACAGGAAATCCGGCATCCACAAGCTTGGAAAGTAGTAAATAGGACACACTTAGCATAGAAGAAAATTCCATGTATGCAAATGTTACATATATTTACTTTTGAAAGAATAAAAACTTACTAAATTGCTGGCATTTCCCTCTAAGAAAAGAAGTGATAGCCAAGCAAAAATGTTCTTCAGCTCCTGTATGGCATGCACAAACCACCTTCCCCTCAGTGGTGTAACTACCCTCAGGGATCACTACCTTAAAAATTGCACCACTGAACTTCTATGTTAAAGGGCCCATACAACTACAGATGCTTGAATAAAATCGAAGTCTTGCATTTGCTAAATCCCTCCAACTCCTCTGGATCTTACATTCAAGCTCTTTAAAGGTCTGCTTGATTTTGCTCCATCCCACATTCTCCGGTGCAAAAAGTAGTAAAAAAGAAAAAAGTATTCTAGGGCAGTTTATTATCTGAAATCTCTAAACCCTGTTGCTTCCCTTCTCAGATGTTTGTGCCTTTGCTACTCACACCTTTCTTTACACTGCTACATGGAGGACCATCTTGCTACAATCCTGGGTCCAGATGAAGTTTCAAATGTCTGTCACGTGTCTGGGGCTTTTCTCTGGCTCTACCAGACAGCTGGCTGCAGTTCCAGCACCTGCTGTTAACCTTAAGGATATGAGGGACACTAAGAGAGTCAATCTAACCACACATTGCTTGGCATAGAATGCTGCTAGGGACACCAACAGTGGATGGCCGGGGCAGGCTTCCCCCAGGAGAAGGTATAGTCTCTATAGGTACAAGCTAGTTGCCCATGGATTTTCACTGACCAAGTGGAGAGAGGTAAAAACAGGTACATGTGGATTGACTGTTTAGAAATCACTGAGCTATATCCCAAATAGTCCACAAAGTGCCACAGCTAGAGGGCCACACAGAGGATGGTGCCCAGAGGGAATAGAATGCTTGCTCACAGGTGGCATTCCTCAGGATACTATGGCAGGCACGATCAGCACATTCACGGTTATTGATGAACCTTATATCCTAGGGGACATTCAGTTACATCCTAGGGGACGTTCAGTTAACACCAACAACAACTTCTTTTAAACAGCTGTCCATTTTCTCAATTGAGGTCTCTGCACTTTGGGATGCTTGAACCTCCAACTGTGTTTCCACATTCTGTTAAAGAAAAAGTAATTGATACACAGGTCCAGTTATGCACCATAAATTTGGACATGGTGGTGCAACTTAAAAAATGCCTACCAAGAGCAACACAAAACCTGAAGAAGAAAACAGAAAGCTTGGAAGCAGGATCATGGGAGAGAAGAGGTAGGGAAGGAAAGCAGAGGTGCTCAAGTAGATTTCTTCATTTCCTTCATCTTCGAGTTCCCCGAATGAGAAACTGTCACTACTAGCTGAATTAACTGTAAGAGGAAATGTTATTTATACCTAGAATCTATGTGTAGTTTAAGTTTCTAAATCTAAAAATATTTGTTTCAGAGTAAGAAGATGGAAGTACAAAAAGAATATATTCAAGGCAGTGTTTTGATTTTATTTGATAAAATACTTTCATTATATTTTCTCAGTTTTATGGCATAAACCATGACAGAATTTGACCAAGTTTCTAAAGGTAGTTATTTTGAATTTTCTTTGGCTTAAAAGAAAGTTTTTGTTTTTAAACTTATTAAAACTTTTAAAATTCTATAATACTGACAATCTTCAAGGAAAAATTGACACAGCATTTTTGGCTTAAACTTTTAAAAATGTAATTTGCTAAAGAACTGTATATATAAACCCAACTATACATATAGAGGTACATATAACTGGTACTGATACATATAGTTACCCTGCTTTGATATACACCATTAGAATTTTCTTTTGCTGATGAGAGTTAAGTGATGGTTCACATTGGTATTCTTAAGCACCCTGGCATTACTTTCTTATTCACAAATAGAATCTTCTGCTATACTCAGAGGGAAGAATCTGGACTGGAAGCAGAATTGATAATTTTTAAGATACCATAGCCATAGACTTTTAAAGATGTCTGATTCTTTGATTTGTGAACAGAATGCATATATTGCTAACTTGAAATTTACTGTAACGTGCAATTCACCAATGCATTTATATTCCAAAGTTGCCATTTTCTGCTAAAAGAAAGAAATACTTGAAGACTTTAGTCAAAGTTCTATGAGGATAACCGAAGCAGAATTGTCATGAACATTCACCTTTTCAACATATGTGACAATATATCTCTAATGCAATTCTGTGCTAAGGAAAAGAGTAAGATTCTTCAATATACAAAGTACTTATTTACATGAAAGATACAGATTTTAAAAATCTCTTCTTGGTTGCACTGATTTCATTTTTTTAATCTAAATCGAAATTTGATCCTGATATTTGGACTAAGGAATCACCATCTTCTAAAAGTTATCTTGGGAAAGTGTAGATAACTACAGTGATTTAACAAAACTCTAATTCCGTTCTTTGCAATAGGGAATTATCACCTATTATACAAAACACACTTATTGAAAACACTTAAAACTTTCTGTCGAAACTAACATAATACTTGTAATTCTATAAAATTCAGCAAGAAATTCCAAGTTTACTGGTTAGAGAATGAAAATGCTTTTTAATACCTGAAATACTGTAACACCTGAGAGTAATGTTGGTGTTGGACTTAACATTGTAATTGTTTTATTTCAGTAACATAGTGTAATCTTACATATGGTTGTAATTTCTCAACCTGAACTTGGTTATGCTCTACTGAAAATATCCTAGTCTTATTACATAATCTATGTAGATCATCAGATTGCAATGTGTGTTCTCTCTTAAATCATGTCTGCTTTACCTAAGAGAACAAGTGTGCATGAATACCATAATTATCATGTTCTTCTTGGTTTTCATATTTTATTTTAGAACAGTAAGAGCAGTCATGAGCCCCAATTAGAAGAGTCATGAGCCCCAATTCAGAAACTCAAACACTAGTGACCAAGGACCTGTAACATTTGACTGAGGACCTGTAATTTTGCAAGATTTGTAAAAAAAAAACAATATGAGCATTTTAATCTTGTGGACTTCTTAGTATTTCTAATTAAAATTTGTTTTAACAATGTTTTTGCTATCTGCCAAAAATATCAATAGCATCCTTACATGAGCTATGTCTTTAAAAGCTGGCTAAAACTCTTATCATCTCAGAAGCAGGGAGACGTTCTCCAAGGCATGTTTTAGAAAGGTTTGAAAAACAGAATTCTTGTAATTATCAAACCTCATCATATAAGATTGATAAGTTTTCTATTACAAATTGATGATTATACCAACTGCAAATAAAAATCCTCAAATGTGACTTTACATTTACAAACTAGTTGAATTATTTAGCAAGAATAAAAAATGAATTAATTATATTTTCAATAAAGCAGATCACTAAATTATCACTTAAAATTATTGCTTAACTTATGTTCATTCTCTCATTTTTAAGTTTGGCTTTTTGTTTTATTTCGTTTCTGAAGCAGTCATTTGATTTTAGTAGTATTTGTGAGGATTTGGTGAATAGCTGAGCATTAAAGAGATAATCTCTTTCTCCAGATTCAATCATAAATCATTGCTTTAACCCAAACATTAGTTCTCTCCGACCTTGATCATCCAAATCCTGCCCCTATATCTATGTGGTGGGATATCACTTGTGTTTGACATGATGATAATCAGCTATGGAAATATTTAAATAGTGTCAGAGACGCTAAAAAATACATGAAAAGAACCTTCTTGAAAACTTAACTTTATTAGAGAAACTGGCCCAAGTGTGAAAATTTTAAAATCACTCCACTTACCAAAACTGGCTAACAATAAGCTTCCTAGAAACAAAATAACAATGACCAGTAAATACCTATTCTTAACATTCTTAATTCTGAGACAGAATTTTAAGGTCCATGTTGATGTAATTGTAAGGTAAACCCCTATGTTAAATAATAAAAATACATTCTCACATTTAAAACATTGTTTTCACACCCATATATGCATACAAAAATTGGGCAACCTATCTTAGAAACATGTTTATAATGACTATATATATTATGAGATAAAATCTGAATAAAAATTTTATTCCAACAACATTTCTCTATTTTAAATCATGTTTATTAAGTTTTTATCACAGTGGAGATTTTTACTCATCCAGCCAGTACCTACTGTTAACTTCATCAAATTCCAAAAAAGCAGAATCAGCTCATTCATACACTCTAAAGTCCTGTTACCATCCCACCATTCATTGCCTGTGTGGTTTTTCTCCTTTAATGGCAAAGTTGTGATAAGACTGTGAAAAGGTATAACTAATAGGCTTCTATGTGTAAAACCATTTCTTCAAGTATTTAGAGAGCAGTGCGTTTGTCTGCATGTACATTAGAAAACTACTTGTGACACTATTTCTACATATAGGAGACTGGCTCCTGGTGGGAGAATAATAAAATCATGTGTCACTGTGTATGACAAGGATTCACAGCATTCTAGAATTTGCACAACTCTTCAATGTTAGTAAATGACTTAAGTAAATATACTCCGCTACTCTCAGCTGTCAGACATGAGATTTCAATCTACAAATAAATAAAGCATGCACTCAATGTGTGTAGTGCAAATGCTAAGTAAACAGAATGACATGGGATAAGCTGACAGTTGCTGCCTAGTGAATGCTTTAGCAGGGAGGACCCGATTTTCTGATGGCTGTGACTTGCATCCCTGTTCAAAATGAATACTGTCATTCTTCTATCTCAGCCATGGTGGCTGAAAAAGGCTGCTGAGCTGGGGCTGCAGGAGTGAGGAAGAACACAGAAAGTCTTCTGCACAAACAACAGAACAATTTCTGTCATTTCTGAGCATCATGTAGGGTCTGATTTGTCACAAAGACCTCAGGCCTCTGCAGACAAAGCAGGTACCACTAAAGAGAAACCCAAACATTTCATTTAAAAGAATAAACTGTTGGCACCTATGTACTATAGATTGTGTGCCCCCCCCAACTAAAAAGGATGAAAAAGATGGTGTTTTAAGGTTAAAACTGTGGAAATGTAACACCCAAAGACTCAAAATTTACAGTGTGGAAAATCTTTCAAATACATAATAAACATTCAAGCAACGGCTCTGTTTGCAAAGGCTATCGGAGTAATACGCTTTAGTAGTTTGAACAAAAGGCAGAGTTTTGTTGCTTTGTCTTAGTTATGCATTGAACTCAATGTTACTCATTAAAACAAAACACAAAAACTATAAAATTCTTCCAGAGGAAAATTATTGGTGGGGAGAAAATTAAAGTAAAATGTGATAACCAATTTATACATTTACTTAATTATATGTTTTGCCCTGAAAATGTCCATAGCCTAAGAACTGAGAAAAGAAAAAAATAAATAAAAAGTACAAAAGGCTCTGTCATTTATCCTTTCATTTCCTTCTTCTGCATTCAGTTTTGAGGGAAAAGTGTTCATTCACTGGAGTATTCTGAGTTCACACATGTTAAATGCTAGGAGAAAAACATCTGGGTCCTAACTTCATTCTTGAATGTTGTACCCTAACAACAAGCAGCAAACTACAACGCTCTGAATTAGATGACAAACACATACACACATACATACCCAAATATTATCAAGAGAAAAAAAAAAACACTGCTTATCTGTGACACACATCAAGATTTGAAACTAAGGTCTGACATGGTCACTTAATTGATTTAAATAATGAAGGCTTCTAAAAGGTTTGGTGCCAAAACTCTGCATCAGTATTTGAATAAAGTACATTTTTGCATTTTAGGTTTGTGCTTCTACAGCCATCTTAATTCCACAGAATTTCATTAGTAAGATCCAATAAGGGAGTATTAGAATTATTTACTGACTTTTTTTTTTTTTAGTAGCTGTTAGACTAAATTATTGCAATAAAAATTCAATGACTGAACACATTTGTTTCTATCACCTGGGGTTCTGGCTCATTTCACTTTCTTCTCATGCTTCATATGGCCAGGTCTTTTGTATTTGCCATTCAGAATTCCACTGTGATAATGTCCATTAACTGTGCTATGCTTAATTCTAGACCACAGACTTCTGATTTTTCTGTAGATAAATTTTGTTACCCAGGACAAGAGGAAGTAAAAAAAGGCAGCACTCAGTAAGAGCACACAAGCAATATCCAGTAAGAAATACTGACAGAAAGAGATCCGGTGCACAGCGGCCCGCAGGTGGTGGGCTCCATTGTGACGAAGGATGTAGTCTATCCAGTAGACAGTCCGGTTGACAGGGTGGCCAGGCTGGTCCTTGTGGATTTCTGACAGCTTCTGAGCCCTCTGGCGGTAGCTACAGAGTGGGGGTAAAACACAGCATGGTCATCTGTATCCAAGTTTCTGTGTTTATAAAGCTCTCAGTTTTAAAATGGGGAAAATAATAAAACAGCTATCCTTTATCAAGCACCTAGTACATTCCAGGCATTGAAATAAATGCTTTAAACATTGTATCTTATGTTATCCCAATAAAAACTATTTTAAACTGGTGTGGAAAATGAAAACCAGAGAGACTAGGTATGTGAACATGATTATAAATTTGAGATCCAGACTCAAGGTTTTCTGACTCTAGTCCTCTGGTCTTTATATGCTACGTCCTATGAACTGCAGCTCTCCATATGCTTTTAAATACCAATGAGCCAGGCATGGTGGCATACACGTGTAATCCCAGCACTCTGGGGGGCTGATGCCAGAAGACTGAAAGTTAGAGCCCAGTCTGGCTAATTAAACAAGAGGCTGTTTCAAGAAAATAAAACAGGGATGGTATGTAGCTCAGTGTGAAGGCTCTGGGTTCCATTCCCAGTACTGAAAAAAAAATTTTTGTGTTTGTATAAAAACAAAGAGACTCAACCAGGAAAGGGAGTAAAATTATTAGATTCTAAAAGAGGATAGAGGAAAAAATGGAGAATCTTATTCTACCACTTTTTTAAGCAATACCTTTTTTAACTTAAAATATCATTAAATAAAGGGCTCAGGATTTAGCTCAGTGGCACCATGCCTGCCTTGCAAACACAAAGTCCTGAGTTTGATCCCTGGTAAATTAAATAATGATTTAAAGTCATTAACAGATTAAAAGAGGTTGAAAGTACTACTATGAAGCCACATGACATTATGTGAATACATGTAAACATGTAAATATATAAAGAAAACACCTTCCAAAGGATGCTTACTAACCAATCTGATTTTGTTCAGTTCTTGTGTTCTGTTCAGAGGTCAATGGATCAACTGAAAAGGGATACCTGAAGGGTTCATACTTAGATATTTGAAGGGAAGGTATTTTCCACTCTGGAGCTAGCCTCAAATTTAATATTAAGTGACACTATCCTTGCAACAGTTTGCTTACAATTCAAAATTCCTTCCAGTAAGAATGTAAAGATTGCAAAAGTAAAAAAAATAAAAATTGTGATTAAAATGGTCATTCAAGCCACCCTTAAACTACTCCAAAGGAACACTTAGCTAAGGTGCTTTTAATAAAGAATTACTTGCAAGGAGTAATCACAACACATTACATTTTATAAAAGTATGTCTTCAATTAAAAGTTGACCATGAGTTAGATAGGTGCTGTTAATAATGATTAACTCATCTTTCTTTATAACTTCTATTAAAATAAAATAAAAAAGAACCCTCCCCAAACAAGAAGAGCAATAAACTTTCCTTAAATAAACACAAAGGACTAATAAGGGAAGAAGACATATAATAGTATCATTTATGAGTGAAAAATAAATATTTCTTTAGCAATACTGTTTATCTGGTTTAAACTAGAGTATCTTGGACACAGTATTAGCAATATAAATTAGCCTTTTCAATAATTGTTGCATGTTAAATGTGGAACATTGCCATGTATTTGGAAACAAAGAAAGATAAGTGATAATTAGTTTAAAGAAGGCTTCTGCCAAAGGCCATACTACACAGATCATAGTCATTTCCACATTGAGACATTTTTCTGTCCTGAATACTCAAAAGACCTTTCAGTTAAATATTTAAATTTTCAAGATTTACATTCAGTAAACTCATTATTTATCTAATAAGCATACTTTTGGAATAATATACATTTATTCACTATACAACGTAAAATATTCTGAATTCAAGCACTTATGTATATTTCAAGATTCCCTAGCTGGGATTTAACTGGATTATGACCTAAGATTGTAGCCAGTTTTCTCTTTGATTCAGTCCAGTTCATTCCTCATAGAACACAGCTGGATGGAGCTGAGGATGGAGCTCAGTGGTAGAGCACTTGCCTCACATAGGCACGGCCCTCAGCTTGATCCCCAGCCCTACAAAACCAAAATCAAAACAGTTGGAATAATTTTCTATGTTACCCAGCATTTTGCTTTTCTGTATAATTGACCCAGTATTAGTAAATTTCTTACCCAAAAAACTGTAGTACAGTATTTTACAAACATATAAGACATTTTCTTAAATGATAACATGTTTACAAATACATACAGCTTAAAAGGAACATATTGCAGAACTGGGATATACTGGAGCACCCCAGATCATGGACCATCTTGCTCCAAGTCCCAGAGCTGTCACCAAGACCCTGAGTTCTTAAGGGCTGAGACCATGAGGACGACCTCTGAGCTCACATAAAAGCAGCTAGAAGAACCAGAGTCGGAATCAGAACCTTACATGAAAGCTATAGCATTTTATGTGAAGTGATTTTTCTTATTGTTGGTGACCCTAAGAATATGGCAGTGTTTCTCAGCCGGTGTTCAGCTGTATCCCCAGGTATAAACAGAAAGCATCACACACCTCTGATGTCATTTGAAATGCATGGCAAATTAAACATCATGTCTTGAAACAGGGAAAGTGATGCTGTGTTTTACTAGCTAGGACTCTGCCCTCTGAGACTCATTTATGAATTGGATTAATGCAGGACAGATCAAGAATTTAAAAAGCAAAATGAAATAAAGATTCTGATTTGGCAGGGAATAAATCTCAGCATTTCAGCAGTACCCACTGTTGCAGAAAGCCAGCAGCACCAGGCTTACTATGTAGCAACAAGAGCTCTGCCTCAAATTCCTACACTAATAGCTGTGCGATTGAGGCAAATTACTGACTCTGAGTCTCAAGTGCTTGATTTCTATAAAATGGGTAACAAAAACTATAAGATACAGCTATGATGACTATTAAAACGAAATTAAAGAAATAACATCTAATACAGTAACTGTTCCCATTGCAGTTTCTCCTTCAGTTTGCCAAATCCTGGTACCATTATTATGCAGGGACACAACATGGCTGGCCAAAGGATTGCTATTTTTATTTTGCAAGTTAGTGCAAATATGTGCAAGACATTATCACAGGAATCTAAAGGTTTATTAATAATTTACTGACAATATTACTACTGACAATATAATGTGGGGGGTGTGTGTGTGTGTGTGTATAACACTATCTGCTTTAATACTAAATGAAACCTACCTGGGATCACTGATAACTTTCACCAGAGCTTCATATAACTCCCCTTCAGTAACAGTCTTCCATTCAAGCAATATCCCCATGCCTTTAGCCTGCACCCGGGTCATAGTATCATAATGATCTCCAAAGAGTGGGATTCCAACTACAGGTACACCATGATACATAGTTTCAAAAATACTGTTCAGACCTCCATGACTCAGAAAGGCTTTAATATTTGAGTGTCCTAAAGAATTATAAGAAAGAAAATAACTTACAACATTATTACTACAGATAATCCTATAGTAAACAAATATTTCAGATACAGGATTTTTTTTCCCATTAAGTTTACTGGTACATTTTAGGTATACAATACAGTTACATTCATCATTGGGATCCTGTACTTTAACATGATGTATCTTGGTTCTTATTTTTTCCCCATTCCCGTGCCCTCCCTTCACCCCCTCCACCCTTATTTACAAAGACTTTGTTTCCATTTTTTACTTTATTCATATTTTTTCTTTTCCCTTCTTTCCTTTCCCCTTCCCCTCCCACTTCACCTATTCCTTTAAACATTTTCTTCCTATTTCACAATATCAATTATACATTTTGATTCTTATTAATACAGGATTTTTTAAGGGATAGTTTCACTGACTTCCACTATACAGCAATTAAAATGTTTGTCGTATCCAAAACTGCCTGATTTGTATATACCAAAAGCTATTTTAGATAACTGAAATGTAGAACTTTAAGCATCAAAATACAACTGTCAACACAAATTTAAATGGTCAATCATAAATAAGAAGCCAATGAAAGCAAGAAATAACAGTACCAGGGTACAACTGCATTTCACTAAAAATAGAGATCTATCTACTGTATGGCTACTCTTAGCACTTACTTATATTAAAGTCAAACTCAGTTTTATTATGTAAAAATGTAAGGCTGATTTCAGAAATCAAGAGTTTAGTGTTTATCAAAATAAAAAAGCTGTATAATAATCACCATTTACAATGTTCTATCAGCATCCATGTTTTACAATTTTAGGGTTCAATTTGACATTTTAGGTATACTAATGAGTAGAGATGGTACTGCTAAGAATTCAGCATTAAAAGATGAGACATTAGGGAGATACCTAGTTGCCATGGGAATAAGAGACAACTTTTCAAAACTGTAATGAAGTATTTTAAAACCCAGTTTTTTTCTCCTAGTAAACAGCCTATATTTCAAATGAGCCTCTTTTTTCTTTTTTGGTATCGGGTATCAAACTTTGAACCTTGTGCTTTCGAGGCAGGAGCCGGAACCACAGAGGTATAATAAAATAAAATAAACACTGCACTTAGGAAAATGTGTTATTGGCCAAAAAAGAATTAGGCCTTGCAGACATATCAGCCATTTAAATACTCTCTCTCTCTCTCTCTCTCTCTCTCACACACACACACACACACACACACACACACACACAGGTACAAAACCAATCATGTGCGTGAGCCACAGTCTCCATGGGGTTCTCCCATATGCTCCTTTCCCAAAGCCTAGTGGGATTTTCAGTCAGTGTCTGTAGCTCTTAGCAACAAGTGGCCCCCAGAGGATCAGCCCCAGAAGTGAATTTCAAAGTTTTTTGCAGCAGCATGCTATTTTTCTAAGAAACTAACCAAACCTCACAATTAAAAAAAAAATCACAAAATGAAACCAAGCCTGGCCTGTGGAAAGAACAGGTATTCCAAGGTGAAGGGAGGGGAGAGATTGATTTGGTTCTTGCTGCACATACATGAGGAACCTTCTGATCACAGTTAGAAGCCATGGGAGGACTGGCAAAGGTCATACCTAGAAGTGAGTAGGACACCAGTCTTGGAAAAGTCAGAGAGCTGAGACTACAGGCACCCAGAGGAGCCACGACTTGAGGTCTTACCAAGTAGCCACACTTGCTGCACATCACACAGGAGAGAACTGAAATGTTCCTGGGTAACAGGGTCACACTGCTGCTGAGACAGCTGACAAGTGACCTAACTGTCCCGCTTCTTTCCTACCTTTCACAGAGTATGAAGTGAGTAAGAAAGGCTTTCAAGGAAAAAAAACCACATGTCAAGAAAAATTACCTTATGTTCATTTCTCCTCAGATTTATCATTCATGAACTAATGATAAGGAACTAGATGGAAAGGAATTATATATATAAAATTATTTGATAGTTACGAAGTTCAAACTGCTGGTTTTTAAGAGGAAGACTATAGCTTCCAAAGTTTGTTCTAAAAGCTGATTTTTAAAACCAGTGTTAGGTGTTAGTATTAATGAACAAGAGGTGGCCAATATTACCAAGACCAATAACTTTTATAATTTCCTCAATATATATGAAGGGATAATATGGTACTGTTTCCCTAGAATTCAAGGAATAAAAATTTTCATTTTTACCATCTGTGTTCTACTGACCAGTCTTAAATTACTTAGGTTCAAGTATTTGTATACTTAAAAGATATGCATGTAATAATCAGTTTAATTTTGAGTTGATTAGAATTAAAATAAATATGTAGTACTCAATTATTAAATTTCAGACCAAAGGTCAGGGATTTA